AAATTATCTCCCCTGTCCACCGCTCCGTCTTCCCCTCTGTGTGAGTGGACTGCGGTCCACTGGGTCCATACCCACAGAGCTGGTGGGAGGATCTGAGAACATTCCAGTTTGGAAATGGGATGTATCCATGTTATCTAGCAACTGGATTTCTCCACTCTATCGGTACTCCTGCAGAAGACCCATAGACCTGTCTAGAAGCTGTGTAGAAATTCATGGTACCTATCCTAATTTCTTTGCAGAGTTCCAGGGTTCCTGCAACTACACAGGCTCTGGGCCCATTCTCTGTGTGTCTGTCCTTAGGCTCCCAGGTTTGTTACATTTTAATGTTGCCACAGTGACCTTCAAAAGGTTGAGGTTGTTTACATTCCCATGGGCACAGTGTGAGGCACCTGTTCCCTGCATCTGGAGAGAGCTGGGCTTCTGACTGATGTCCTATTGTGTTAAAATCACACTAGCACTTGAATTTTCACCAGGACGACTGAGCAGTGTGGCTCATGGGCTTATGCCCACCACTGGCATCTTCCTGCACCCTCTCTTGTGATAGCCTGAGTCTATTTTTCTTTTGGGTTGCCTTGGTTTCAATGTGTAAATTTCCTTTGTATCTTAGGTATAATAACCCGTTATCATATGCACAGCACATGTATTCTCCCATTTGTATTTTGACTTGATGACTTTTTTTTTAAGATTTTATTTACTTATTGGACAGAGAGAGTGCGTGCACAAGCAGGGGGAGCAGGAGAGGGAGAAGTAGGCTCCCAGCTAAGCAGGGAGCTCCATGCAGGACAGGATCCCAGGTCCCCGGGATCATGACCTGAGCCCAAGGCAGACCCTTAACAGACTGAGCCACCCAGGTGCCCCTGACTTGATGACTTTTATACTACGTTTTACTTTCACAATTTTTATACTTACATAACATTTATTATTATTATTTTTTTTTAAAGATTTATTTATTTATTTGAGAGAGCGAGAGAGAGAGAAAGAGAGAGTGCATGAGAGGGGGGAGGGTTAGAGGGAGAAGCAGGCTCCTCGCTGAGCAGGGAGCCCGATGTGGGACTCGATCCAGGGACTCCAGGATCATGACCTGAGCCGAAGGCAGCCGCTTAACCAACTGAGCCACCTAGGCGCCCCTACATAACATTTTTTTTAAAGTAAACTCCACTCCCAACGTGGGGTTCAGGAACTCAGGACCCGGAGATCAAGAGTAGCTGGCTCTACTGACTGATCTAGCCAAGTGCCCATACTTACATTTTTTAAAATGTAGTCAAATGAGTACCTTTTCCTTCATGATTCCCCAGTTTCCTGTCCCTCTTGCTTAATAAATTATTTCTTATCCCTTTATTCCAAGGGGTGTGTTCTAAGTCTCCTTCTAATATTTTTATCATTTTATTCTCAGCAGTTAACCATCTCATCTAGTTGGAATTCACTGTTCTGTGTGACGTGATGTGGAAGGCAAGAGCCTCTGTAGACAGGGCCCTCCCTGGTGGGAGCCTCAGCTTCCTGTCTTCCAGCCGAGGCCCTGCCAGGTGGGTCCTAGGCTTCTTCCCACTGCAAATGCTCTGGTACTGAGCACAGATCTCCTGACACCAGCCCAGGGCACCAGGTCCATCTATAAGTTTACCAGCCCCCAGACACAGCATTGGGATGGGGCGTGTCTGCCACCTCCCCTCCTACCTGGTGGGGAACTTGAGGCACAGGAGTCTCACACTGAAGTGACACACTCAAGGGAAGCACCTGAGTGAGGAGGGCTAGCGGGGGACCTGAGCCCAGCCCAGGGTAGGAACAGTTTTCCAGTGCTCAGTGCTGACCACAGCTGCTGTCCCAGCATGACTCTGGCTCAGCAGTGCACTAAAATCAAAGCTCAGCAAAATCCCACAATTGACCTCTGTCCCTTTAAATTGAGACTGGCCAGCAGCCCCGGGATTCCTCTGCGGCCAAGGGTGAGGAGGGCCCAGCCTAGATCCCAAAGGAACAAAGGGTTTCTTAATGGCTTCACACCTTGGCCTCCACTCTCCACCCTTTTCCAGCTTTCTGTGGTCTTGGGCTGGCTGGGTCAGTGTTTGCCCCCTTCCCTTCTGTAAACTCTCAACAAACAACCCCCAGTCCCTTCCCAAGCAGGACAAAATTCAAAAGACACCCACAGGTAAAGTCCCTCCTTCCAATCCTAGGCCAGCGGGTTCCCTCCCCCAGAGTCAATCAGCATAACCTGCTGCTGGATGCATCCAGTCATTTTATGTCTTTGGTGCATGCAAATACAATTTTTAAAAATCTTCCTACAGGGGCGCCTTGGTGCCTCAGTCGGTTAAGTGTGTGACTCTTGATTGTGGCTCAGGTCATGATCTCAGGGTTTGTGAAATCGAGCCCCTGGCCTGCTTAGGAGACTCTTTCCCTCTCCCTCTACCCCTCCCCCCTCTCTCTAAAAAATTTTTCCTACGAAAATGGTAGCTTTCTATACCCGTTGTTCTGCCCTTTCCTTTTTTCAGCCAAAGCTACATCTGGCAGACCCTTCCCAATCGGTATATAGAGCTTCCTGGTTTGCCGCCACACTGTATCAGTGTTTGAATCACGGTGTGAATGTCCATGATTTGAATGCCCCATTGCCTAATGACCAACATCTGGACGTATGAGGTACCATAATGCAATCTCACACTTCTGTGAGCATCTCTACAGGGAAAATGCAGAGGTGTGATGACTGAAGCAAAGCTATGTGCTCTTCTCACTTTGGTAGCTGAGTCCAGAGACTTCCGGAAGCTCTAACCTACTGCTCACTAAATACAGGAATGTCCATGGGCCCACAATCTTCCCCTTCCAGTGTGATCAAACTTTTTGATCTTTGCAGATTTGTTAGGTTTAAGAAAAAAAAGACGTCTACAGGCTTTTCAATTTGCATTTCTCTAAGGAGGGGAGGTTGGAGTCTGTTCTTGTTCATCTGCATATTCTTTACAGGAGTCTTCTTGGATTTACTGGAGAGTGGGTATTTTGTTATTGATTTGTAGAGACTCTTCATTATTAAACTATTATCAATCTTTTTTTTTTTAAAGATTTTTACTTTTTTTTTTTTTAAGATTTTATTTATTTGCGAGAGAGAGAATGAGAGACAGAGAGCATGAGAGGGAAGAGGGTCAGAGGGAGAAGCAGACTCCCTGCCGAGCAGGGAGCCCAACGTGGCACTCGATCCCGGGACTCCGGGATCATGACCTGAGCCGAAGGCAGTCGCCCAACCAACTGAGCCACCCAGGCGCCCCTAAAGATTTTACTTATTTATTTGTCAGATTGAGAGAGAGAAAGCCCGAGCACAAGCAGGGGGGAGCAGCAGGCAGAGGGAGAAGCAGGTTCCTCCCTGAGCAGAGAGCCCAAAGCGGGGCTCATCCCAGTACCCTGGGATTCATGACCTGAGCAGAAGGCAGACACTTAACTGACTGAGCCACCAGGCGTCCCTAAACCATTATCAATCTTGGAATGCCTGGGCGGCTCAGATGGTTAAGCGGCTGCCTCCGTCGCAGCTCATGATCCCAGAGTCCTGGCATCGAGTCCGGCATGGGGCTCCTTGCTCAGCGGGGAGCCCGCTTTTCCCTCTGTCTGCCGCTCCCCCTGCTTGTGCTAGCTTGCTCTGAGAAATAAGTAAAACCTTTAAAAAGATAAACTATTATTAATCTTATTAAGATTGGGACTTTGTGATAGGAGTGGCAAGAATGTCCTTCCCAGTTTATGGATTGTTTCTTGACATTGCATAAGGCAGTCTGGCTCTGGCTCTGCAGAAAGCTTTGATTTCACCTAGTTGAATTTCCGCCTCCCCTCTAGTGTGCTGGGTTTGAGGTCATTATTTAGAAACGCCCTCGCTTCCACCAAGACTCTGAAAAAGTTCCCCCAAGTTTTCTTCTTTTTTAAGGCCTAAATCCTTATTCCGTTTGGAATCTAACCCAATGTGAAGGGTGAGGGGTGAATCCCACTCACTGATGCAAATCGCCACCTTAAAGAGTAGGAAATTCCCACTCGTCCATGGAGCCTTTTCATTTTGCCATAGGAAGTGTGTTCTTTACACACACCCGCCCCTCCCCGAGGCCCTCATCACGCGTCGCCCGGCCCACGACTCAGGGAACCCAGACGCTGGCGTCCCATGGACCCCAGCGAGTGTAGGAAGCACTTGGGGCGCTCGCTTGCCGCCTCAGATCCACAGTGGTTTCCAATTCACGACCCGCCACTTTCCCTTCTGAATCCCTGGGTCCCGCGCCAGCCCTCTGCCCTCATGCACCCGGGTCCCACGTCCCTCCTGCGCCCGACTGGGTCCCGCGCCAGCCCACCTGCCACGCCCCCCCGTGCCCCCTCCGTCCCACGTCCCCCGCTGGGTCCCGCGCCAGCCCGCGGCCCCCCCCGTGCCCCCTCCGTCCCACTTGCCCCGCGCCAGCCCGCCGTCCCCCCCCCAGTGCCCCCTCCGTCCCACGTCCTTCCCGCGCCCGATTAGGTCCCGCGCTAGCCCGCCGCTCCCCGTGTCTCCTCCGTCCCACGTTCCCCGCGCGCCGCACTGGGTCTCGCGCCAGCCCGCCGCTCCCCCATGCCAGCTCCATCCCACGTCCCCAGAGTGCCCCACTGGGCCCCGAGCCAGCCCGCCGCCCTCCCGTGTCCCCTCCGTCCCACGTCCTTCCCGCGCCAGCCCGCCGCCGCCCCGTGCCCGCTCCGTCCCACGTCCCCCGAGCGCCCCACTGGGTCCCGCGCCAGCCCTCCGCCCCCGGCCCCTCTCGGTTCCGCGTCCCCCGCGCGCACTGCGTGACCCTCCATCCTATCCCGCCCTACCTCCCCCTATCTGCGCGCGCGGTGGCGGGTCGGCATTCCCTCTCAGTCCACGACCTCCCTCTGACCCATTTTCCTCGCGCTCCCCGTGTCCCCAAGTCGCCTTCGGCCCGCTTCGGCCCCCCGCCAGCGTCCTCCTTCCGATTCCTGTCCCCGAGTCCGGCTCCGGCCACGGCTCCCGCAGGGCGGGGCCTCGCAGGCGGAAGTGCCCGGGGCGCCGGCGGCTGGGACCGGCCGGGACGATGGGAGCCCGGGGCAGAGGCGGCAGCGGCAGCGGCGGGGGCCGCAGTGGCGGCGGTGGCTGCCCGGGCGGCGGCGGGGGCGGGCGGCCGGGGACGCGGTCCGGGTAGCGCCGGGCCGAGCGCGGAGCCATGGGCCGGGCTGGGACCGGGACCGGGGGCGCGGCGGTGGCGGTGGCAGTGGCGGGGCCGTTGCTGCTGATGTTGCTCGCTGGGCCCCCGCCTACCGCCGCCGGCGACAGCAGGAAGAGCGGTGAGCCGGCGCGGACCCGCGGGTGCCATGGCGGGGGGGCGTGGGCTGGGGCCCGGCGGGTTGGGGGGCGGCTGGGAGGCGGAGTCTGGATTGTGTCTGGATTGTGACTCACCCTGGGGGCGCCTGTGCGCTCACCTGGCGCGGGCTCAGGGCCCAGGTCCCCACCCCAGGCAAGGGGGTGGGGGGGGGCCAGGGCAGCCCCTTGCGTGCGCCCCGTGTTAAAGTAGAAGTAGTCGGGGTGGAAAGGACGCCGGTGCCCCCTCCATTGTCCCCAGGGCCGAGTTCGTCCAGACTGGCCCCTTGGAGTGCGCCCTCCCTTCCCGGTTCCTCCCTACGCGTTTCGGTAGGGCACAGCCGCGCTGGAAGGGACTTGGAGGTGGAGGAGTGCAGGGGGACCCAGCTGGGAGGCCCACTGGAAAAAGGGTTGTGCGGTGGCTTCCAGGGCGCCCCCCTGGCCTCGGAGAAGGGCGGGTTGGGAGAAAGTTGCTTAGGTTCAGGAGAGGGGCCAGGTGGGTTTCCTGTCTTCACCCTTCACAGGGTCATACCCAGCCCAAGTGCAGTGACTTTCAGCAGCCGTGCTTCTTGGAGGCTGGACTCCCACGGGACCCTAGGAGCCTGGTAGGCCAGGGTGGTCTGAGGGTCCCCACCCTGGACTGAACCTCTAGGAGGTGGCTAGACCAGGAGATGCTGTCCCTCAGGGTCCTCCTGGGGGTGTTGAGTAGCCTCCCTGAGGGCCCTGTGGCCAGGGCTGGGAGGGCCTAAATGCCCCCTTGGGCAGCAGCCGGCTTATCCAGCACAGCATGGGGCTCTCTACCTCCACTTCCTGGCCCCCTGCCCCTCCCCCCTTCTCTGAAACCCTCCAAGCTCCTATTTCTTTGAGGGCTGTGCCTCTGGTTTCTGAGCTTGGCACAGTTTGAAATGAAAGGTGGTTTCCCCAGAGATTGGCTCCTGATTCAATTGCTCCGTTGGATATTGCCATATTTATGTCCACCTTTTTCTTCATCCTGGGGTCAGGGCCCGGTGAGGGCTCACTGGTGGGGGGGCTTATGGAGATGGAAAACTTGGGGCAGCCCCTCACCTCTTAGGCCTGCTGAGAAGTCAGGCCACTGTGTGGCCCTGGTTTCTGGAGTCTGTGCATGGGCAGAGTCCCTGTACTGGGTACCTGTCCTGCTTTGGAGGGTGTGGGATAGTGTGGGGATAGTGTGCTCTCCCTGGGGTTCCCAGGACAGGCTCAGGGACTTTCTCTCTTTTCTGTCTAACCCTGTGTCCTTGGAGGGGCCTGTGGGGCAAGGCTGGGGTACATGAAGCTGGTGCTCCCTGATAGAGGTAATGTGCTAACCGCCTGGTGTTCAGCAAGATAACCCCGTGGGTGTCTGGGGCAGGGAGGTCAGACTATAGAGCTGGGGTGCTGGAGGAGCTAAGTAGCCCTAGGAAGAGGGTTCACTGGGTCTTAGGGGGACCTTGAGCAGGTCTCTTATCTCCTATGCACCTGCTGAAACCTACCAGCTGTGTTCCAGGTGCCCTCAGGCTGGCATTCTGGCGCTGGCAGTGGCCAGAAGTCCTTGCCCCTTTCAGGCCAGGGTGCTGGGTGCCCAGCTGGCAGACTGTTTCTCTACGGTCCCCTGGTCCTGAGGTGGAGGTGGGGAGCTGTCCTACCTCAGCTCCCCAACACTTTTCTCCGCCCTTCTCATCATGTTATCCTGGGGGCTGAAGCAGCCTCACGAGGAGGTTTGTGTTAGTTCAGCAGCTCCTGGCTTCCTAGTGTTCAGTCCATAGCCTGGTGAATGGGACCTGGTGGCCAGCAGCCACCGGGAGAGTCTGGGATTCGTCCTGCATAGAGCCTACCCCTGAGCACCCTGCTGTGTGGGGCTGCTTTGTAGCTCAGACTGGCTTTGCAAGTGGGTCATTATCTTCTCTCCCGTGCCTCCCATGGGAGGGTCAGGAGGCTGGCGGGAGAGCAGATGCTCACCTGGCTCCCGTCCCTGCTCACCTGGCTCACCTTGAGGGGCCCTGGCCTGTGGCTGAGGTGGTGTCAGCCAGCCACTCTCCCAGTGGGGCAGAGATAGGCATTCAGCTTGGAAGAGCGGGAGGCCGCACCCTGTGTCCACAGTGCCTTTCTTCCGGAAGCACTTTAATATCCATTAACTTTGGAGGGCAGGGCACCTGAAAGGAGGTGCTGTCTACCTCAGCCAACTCACAAGGAAGCTGGGACTCAGAGAAAGGAAGGGACACCCAAGGTCACCAGAGGTATGAGGCCTGAGCTGGTGCTGGGGCTGGACTCCCGGCCATCCAGCCCAGGCATGTCATGACCAGACCCCATGCACGATTAGCTGTCCCCAGGAGCACAGAGAACACTTAGGGTGTTTTTGTCCTGTAGGAGCCCCAAGAGGGAGGGTTGTGGGTGGGCTCCACGCATGGGGTCAGACACCTGCTCTGGTGCTGGTTGTGCTCAGTCAGTGGACACCCCCAGCAGGGGCCTAATCCAGGGAGGGGCCTCTGGTCTCTGTGCTGAACCCCAGAAGACTCAGAGCTGGTCCTGGAATGGTTGGCATGACACAGGCTGAGTTTTAGAGTGTGGAGGGGAGGGTAGCCGGGGAGCCACAGAGGTGAAAACCTGAGAGCTCCTAGGAGGGTGGGCACAGGGGCGCCCCAGGCTGGGGCCATGGGCAGTTTTGTCTCTGTGGCCACCCTGCGTGAGCACAGGAACCAGCTGTCCCTTCGTCTTCAAGGCGGCCAGCCTTCCGGCCTGGGCCCTCCTCCCCCCAGGGTCTCTGCTCGCCTCCTCTCTGGGTGAGGGGGAACTCAGGCTCTCGTCTGGCTGTGTCTCAAGTCATCATGGGGCTGAGCAGGGGGCCAGGCTCTGGGCCTGAATCCCCTCAGCACAGCATGCCCCACAGCATGGAGCAGGAGGGGCTCCGAGGAGGTGGAGTGAGTGTTCTGGTGTCTGGTGCCCAGGACAAACGTGAGGTGGGGGCAGGCCTACCACCCTGAACACTTCCCGTGACCCTCAGCCTCCATCTCTTGGCCCCCGAGCTGCTGGGGCTGCAGTACTGAGTGAGACCATGACAGCGTGCAGGGGCGGTGGGGGGTGTGGGGGCGTCGGAGGCGTCTGGGGTGACAGGTGTGGGGGGCTCGTTCTGGAAGCTGCCCGATGGGTGGGATGTCGGTGATCTGGGGAGGCTTGGCAGAGACATGGCTTCAGGGTCGGAGCCTGTGCCCCGGAGAGATCAGTGGTGGGGGTGGAGAGGGTTAGAAAGATGACAGCTGTGGTTGAGAATGTGCGGCAGCTGAGAGGGAATGTGGCGGTGGCGGGAAAACCTGAGTCCTGGGCCTGCTGGGGGGGGACAGCGACAGGTCCAGCCGGGGTGCCAGGCTCATCCCTCTGTGGGATCCCGTGAGGAGGTGGGGGCCTGGCTGACAGCACCCTTCTCCCCGCAGACATCAGGCTGGTGTCCGAACATTTCTCACAGTCCCCACAGAAGCTGTCTTTCTACAGCTGGTATGGCAGCGCCAGACTCTTCCATTTCCGCGTGCCCCCGGACGCCGTGCTGCTGCGCTGGTTGCTGCAGGTGTCCCGGGGCAGCAGCCCTGCGTGCGCCAACGTGGAGATCACTGTGTAGGTGCCCGCCCGCCCGCTCGCCCACCCGGGTCCGCCCAGCGTCCACCCCTGACGCCTGTCCTGCTCTCCCTGTCTCCAGGTACTTCCGGTACGGCGCCCCTCCCGTCATCAACCCTTTGGGCACTAGCTTCCCTGCCAATACGTCTGTGCAGTCCCCCTTCTTCATCAAGATGCTGCAGAGCAACGCCTCCATCAACATCTCCCACCCAGCACCCGGGGACTGGTTTGTGGCCGCTCACCTGCCCCCCTCCTCCCAGAAGATTGAGATGAAGGTAAGGGGGCTGCCTCCCGGGGATGGGGGGCAGGATCCTTCGCTGCATGAATGCGCAGTCACTGTCGTTTACCTCCCCGGGGCAGACTTGCCTCTAGGTTCTGCTGCCCTGCTCTGGTCCAGTCCTGCCTGGCCCCCATTCCATGCCTGGGCTCTCTGCTCCGGCCCTGACCACCCCCATGTCTGCATGTTCTTTCCCCCCACACTTCGCTCTCTCCCCAGGGTTTTGCTCCCACCTGTGCCTACATCTTCCAGCCCGACATGCTGGTCGTGCGGGCAGTCGAGGTCTTTATCCTGGAGCCCGACGTTCCCCTTCCGCAGACTCTCCTCTCCCATCCCAGCTACCTCAAGTGAGTGGGACCCTCGGGGAGGCCTAGCCTCCGGGTGCGGTGGAGTGGGTGATCCCACTGTCCTCACTGTGCGGGCCTGGGCCTCAGGGCCCAACGCCCAGCTCCCTTGGGCCAACATCCCGAGTGTGAGTGAGGGGGGGTTTCGTGGCGGCCACAGAGCCTGAGCGAGACTGTGTCCCCTTGGCCACAGAATCTTCATCCCTGAGTACACCCGGGAGTTGCGGCTGGAGCTGCAGGGCTGTGTGAGCAATGGGAGCCTGGGCTGCCCCGTGCGCCTTACCGTGGGCTCGGCCACCCTGCCCAGAAACTTCCAGAAGGTGCTCACATGCATCAGCCCCACCTGGGCCTGCCACCTGTTCCTGCCCTCACCCCCCGGGGACCGGTGGCTGCAAGTGACTGCCAAGAGCCTGGCGGGGCCTCACGTTTTGGTGGCTTTCAGGGCTATAGCTGCCCTCACAGGTGGGCTGTGTGGAGAGGGCAGGGCGAGGGTGGCTCTGCCCCCTGCCGCTGACCCCCAGGCCTTCCTGCAGCTGAGCCCCTTATCCTCCTGACAGCCTGCAGGCCATGGAATCTGAACTCCCAGCACCTCCTGCAGAGCAGCCCAAACCAGAGCTGTAACGCCTCCACTGGTCTGCTGCCCCCGAGCCCTGGCTGCCACGGCCTGGGCAGGAGCAGCAGGGTGGGCGGTGGCCCCTTCTGCCTCGTGAGCTACCCGGTCATTCGGGAAGACATGGACGTGGTGTCTGTACGCTTCTGGCCTGCAGACAGGGTTTCGGTGCTGGTGCGGCCAGCCACGCCCTCAGTGATGCGGCTGTACCTCAGCACAGGCATGGACAGTGGGGGCTCCCTCACCATCTCCCTGCAGGCCAATAAGGTACCTTTACCTGTGAGCACCTCGCGGCCGGGCTCAGCTCAGGGCTCTCACGTGCCCAGGCTGAGGGATGCTGCTCAGGTCTTCCTGCCTTGACTTTGGCATAGACACAGGTCAGCCTTCCGGGCAACACCTGACTGCAGCAGGCCTTGGGGCAGAGTAGGGGCTCTGTCTGAGGAAAGGAAGGCCTGTTCTGTGGGCTAAGGAAGTGAGGCCGTGGGTGGGATCGGGCTGGGTGTCCCTGGTCCTGGAGGGATGGGCCCCGGAAGGGCCCTGGGCCAGCAGGAGCCACCGAGAACGGAGCCCAGCACCAGAGAGAGTGGGAACTTAGGGCAGTTGCGCTGGGGCTGGGGCTGACTGCATGGCCTCGCCTTCCAGACTGCAATTACCAACAACACCTTGGTAGCGGTCTGCCTGAACGCCGCCTCCCCCTTCCTCGGCTTCAACACATCGCTCAACTGCACCACAGGTATGGGCCGGCAGCATCCGGCCAGTGTCCCCAGCCAGCCCCTCTGGCCGTCTCTGCTCAGGCCCTCCCCCTTCCCTGCAGCCTTCTTCCAGGGCCACCCCCTGTCTCTGAGTGCCGCATCGCGCAAGGCCGACCTCATCATCCCCTACCCAGAGACAGACAACTGGTACCTCTCCCTGCAGCTTGTATGCCCCGAGAGCCCTGAGTAAGTAGACTTGGGGACCACCAGAGGGGGGCAGGTGGCATGGGGCTGCCCGGGTGCAAGTTCGGGAGTGACCAAGCCTCCTGCAAGCCACGTGGGGTCAGTTGCCTTCTGGGAGTTGAGGGATTCTGCTCACCCTTCCTGCTGCAGCCCCGGGAGTCAGGACACAAGGAGGGGGACCAGTCCAGGACACAGCCCTGGGAGACTGGGACTCGGGGCAGGGCGAGGGGAAAAGGCATCTCGGCCTCGGCAGGGCTCACAGCTGCTGTCCTCCAAGGCTGGGAGCCTGGGGGCCTCAAGTCTGGGTTCATGTGTCCAAGAGCCTGCTGAGAGCACGGACGAGGGACTGGCCAGCAGATGTCAGCAGCTAGCCTTCCTGTGGCCCCTTCCTCACAGGGAGTGCGAGCACGCCTCGGTCCTCGTGGAGACCACCTTGTCCTTGGTGCCCTGCCTGAATGACTGCGGTCCCTACGGCCAGTGCCTCCTTCTGCGCAGACTCAGCTACTTGTATGCAGGCTGCAGCTGCAAGGCCGGTGAGGGCCAGGCCTGAGGCCTCCAGACGCTTCTTTTTTTTTAAGTTTCTTTATTCAAGTAATCTCTACACCCAAGGTGGGGCTCCAACTCACGACCCCAAGATCAAGAGTTGCATGCTCCTCCGACTGAGCCAGCCAGGCACCTTGCCTGCAGACCCTTTTGCCCTTGGCCTCTCAGCCCGGTGTCTCCCTCTGGGAGCCCATTTCCCCTCTGTCAAGGCCGGAGAGTGACTCTGCCAAACAAGGGCAAATGCCTCCTCCTCATTCCTCCCCTGCTTCCTCAGTCCCCTGCCCCCCTGCCTCCCAGGCACAGATGGCACCCACAGAGAGAGTCCTGCCTCCTGACCTTGGCCTGCCCTTCCCACACCTGCCCCAGCCTGGCCCACGCCTGCCCCACGCCTGCCCCACGCCTGCCCCAGCCTGCCCCACGCATGCCCCACGCATGCCCTGGCCTGCCCCACGCATGCCCCACGCACGCCCCACGCACGCCTCATACATGCCCCGGCCTACCCCATGCATGACCCACACATGACCCATGCATGACCCACACATGCCCCATGCATGCCCCTCGCCTGCCCTAGCCTGCCCCATGCCTACCCCGGCCTGCCGCACGCCTGCCCCACGCATGCCCCACGCATGCCCCACGCATGCCCTGGCCTGTCCCACGCCTGCCCCAGCCTGCCACATGCCTGCCCCACACCTGCCCCAGGTGAGGAAGGGGCTTCTCTGCAGGCCTCTAGGTGAGGGGTAGGCCCTGAGCTTCAGAAGAAACCCCCCTCCCCGGCCTCAGCCCCCTGGCATCACACTGGCCCACAGGCTGGCGTGGATGGAGCTGCACGGACAACAGCACAGCCCAGACCGTGGCCCAGCAGAGGGTGGCCACCCTCCTTCTCACCCTCAGCAACCTCATGTTCTTGGCCCCCATCGCTGTCTCGGTGCACCGCTCATTCCTGGTGGAGGCCTCCGTCTATGCCTATACCATGTTCTTCTCCACGGTAGGCTCGCTCCACTGCCTTGGGGATGTGGGGGCGGGGCTGGCTGGGGGGCGCTGGGCTGCGGCTTACCACCCCTGCTCTGCAGTTCTACCATGCCTGCGACCAGCCCGGGGAGGCCGTGCTGTGCATCCTTGGCTATGACACCCTGCAGTACTGCGACTTTCTGGGCTCTGGGGTGTCCATCTGGGTCACCATCCTCTGCATGGCGCGGCTGAAGGCAGCCCAGAAACATGTGAGTGACTCCTGACGCCTGGGTCTGGACTCCAGGCGTGCCCCATATCGAGGAAGAGACCAGAAAGAGGGCTTGGCTCTTCGAAACCTGCCTTCTCTTGTAAAGACCATTCTCCTGCTGGAGGAAGCTGCCTCCGGCTGGGAGGGACCGGCTGCTTGGAGAGGGCCAGGAAAGAAAGGTGGTGGGCAGGGTCAAGTGAGGCCCCCAGCCTGTCTCTCCCAGAGCCCCCTTCAGAGAGGAAGCCTAGAGCGCCAACCCTAGGCCAGACCTCCCTGAGAAGCCCCCAGCTGTGCTCCTGCAGTCCTTGTGCGGAGGACACTTTGGGACTTTTCTGCCTCAACTGGCTCTGACTAATAAGGACACATGCCTGGGGCCTTGCCTGGCCACATTTGTGCCTCAGAAGTCCACTTGTGGACGGATCAATGGAAGCCCTGGGTCCCAGCAATGCAGAGCAGGACAAAGTGTGCCAGCAACTCTAAGGCCAAGGGACAGTGGGGGCCAGCAGGACGATGACCATGCCCAGGTCACCGGACCTTGCATTGTCATGAACGACTGGCTGAGGGTTCCCATGACCCTGTGGTCACCCCTGTGTCTTGCCCAGGTCCTGTTTCTCCTGGGCACGCTGATCTTCGCCATGTCCTTGCAGCTGGACCGCAGGGGTGCCTGGAACATGATGGGGCCTTGTCTCTTTGCCTTTGTGGTCATGGTCACCATGTGGGTAAGGAGCTGGGACAAGCCAGCGCTCCTGGCCAGACCCCCCTCCTCTGGTGATTGGGATAAGAGTCTGGGCTCCCCGCAGACCCCTCATTCTGGCCATGTTCCCGCCCCTGGGCCCGAGTCCTGCACAGCTGCTGAGGATTGCTGGGGGCACCCACGAGGCCCGGGCCTGACACCTGTCAGCTCTTTGTGCCCTTAGGGCCCCCTCCAAGCAGCCACACCGACGCGGTCCAGCTGCCCAGACCTGGCGGGGGGGCCCCCGGGAGCTGCGGCTGCAGCCTCCTGTGCCGGACCTCACGCGGCGGCTCTCTCCAGGTGTACCGCTGCGGGCGCCGGCGGCACTGCTACCCCACCTCCTGGCAGCGCTGGGTCTTCTACCTCCTGCCCGGCATCTCGATGGCTGCTGTGGCCGTTGCCATCTACACCTCCATGATGACCAGCGACAACTATTACTACACGCACAGCATCTGGCACATGCTGCTGGCGGGGAGTGCGGCCTTCCTGCTGCCGCCGCGTGAGCAACACACCAAGCCCTGGGCCTGCTCGCAGAAGCTCACTTGCCACTATCAGATCTGTAAGAACCACCGAGAGGACCTGTACACGGTGACGTGACGTGGCCAGCTCAGGGAGCCTGGCAGCTGCGAACATGACCTCTCTGGCCAGGGGCACGACCAAAGGAGAAGGACCCTGTCCAGATCGATTTCCAACTGAATAAAATTGCCCTTGCACTCTTTGGCTTCCTCCCGAGGAGAGGAGTGCCCCCCCCCCCCCCCATTCCCTCGTTCCTGCCGGTTGCTGGCTACCACGGTCCCTCTGCAGGTCCCAGCTGGTGTCTGCAGGGGCCCCTGGGGCCTGGGCCTGGCTGCTTGGAGACTGCAGGTGCCATGCAGGGGCAGGCTCTGTGTTCGGCTGGCTGAAGGATGGTTGGCGATGTGGAGCAAGATTCCCCCATCATCCCTGTTCCCTGTGAGGTGGTGAGGTGAGGCCCAGGGGGACCGAGGAGGCCTGAGCCCACCTCCCACAGGCCTCCGCCCCACTGAGCCTGGGACCGTGCCCTCCTTGCGTCCCTGGCTCCGTGACGAGGTGTGCCCTGATGCCGGTCTTCCCGGGTGTGGGCATGCTCCCTGCTGATGCAGTGGTGTGGGGAGAGGCGACCAGTCACCAGGCACCTGCTGGGCACTGAGAGGCTGGGTTTTGGCCTTCCGGTCCTGCCCCTCCCCTCCATTCGGCTCTCTGCTTTGGAGGTGCCGCCCCTTGGGAAGAGCTTCCTTGGGAGGGGGCTGCCAAGCTGCTCTGGGAGTGCAGTACCACAGGTCCCACCCTGCCCCAACTCCATCTCTCCAGCCAGCCCATGGGTTCCTGGGCCCTTGCCTGGGGAGCCACTCATGCTCTCCAGTTGCTCCAGGAAAGCAAGTGATGACTGCTGCCTTGTACAGGCCTAACCGTGTGTTTGGGGAGGGGGTTCCCTGAGACCCGGCCCAGCCTTTCTCCATCCTCTGTGGGGGAAGCAGGGTAAGGGGGGCTGACTGCCCCTCCCCTAAGGCAAGACTGCCATGGCTGCCTACCAGGGGTGCCTGAAGTGGCCCAAAGTGGCCACAGGAAACTGAGGCCTCTGAAGGTGGGGTGGGTTGGGGACAGGCAGCCCTCCCACCTACTGGCCCCGGGGCTTCCCTTCCTGTCCCGCTGCGGCCTCCCGCACCCCTTGTCACCCTGCACTCGGCCCCTAGCACATTCTCTAGGCTTGTAAAGGGGAAACAAACATTTAGATATGGTGGTTTTGGGGGTTACAAGTTTTCAAGGCATTAAGACATTTTTATGTAGCTCTGATTTTGCTGTGATTGGTGAGTTTAATATTCTACAGTGATATTTCAAGGCACAAGAGTCTTTTATTTTATTTTTATTTTTATTTTTTAAAGATTTTTTGTTTATTTATTTGACAGAGAGAGAGAGCGAGAGAGGGAACACAAGCAGGGGGAGTGGAACAGGGAGAAGCAGGCTTCCCGCCGAGCAGGGAACCCGATGCGGGGCTCGAACCCAGGACCCTGGGATCATGACCTGAGCCGAAGGCAGACGCTTAATGACTGAGCCGCCCAGGCGCCCCAAGAGTCTTTTATTTTAGAGTGAGCGTGCAGGGGGAGGGGAGGGCGGGGAGGATCTTAGGCAGGATCTATGCTTCGCGAGGGCCCGATCTCAGGACCCTGGGATCACGACCTGAGCGGAAATCAAGAGTTGGACTCTTAACCGACTGGGCCACCCAGGCGCCCCGAGACACAAGAGTTTTTACATTGATTTCTGCTCCCCATCCGGGAGGAGAGGGGGTGGGACCGAGGATGACAAGCTCCACCCCTCCCCGCCCCCAGCTCCGCTCAAGGGGAAAAGGATCCGCATTTGCCGACGGTGCCTTGAGCTGCTGCTGTCACTGCCGCGCATTTTCCACGGTCCCTAAAGACAGGAAATGGGGCGGGACAAGAGTAGACTGACGGGCTTTTCAGCCAGTTAGCGGCGGATGGGGTGCTAGGCGCTGCGTCGCGACTTCTGGTTCCGGTGGGGCGCGGAACTTGGAGAGGTAGGCAGTGGGCTAGGTCAGGGTTGGGTTTCGAGGGGGCGAATAGGGACTGCAGATCCGGGCCAGGGACGGGAGTCAGGGTCCGGGATTAGGAGTCTGGGCGAGGGGAGAGGCTACACGGGTACTTGGGGCCGGATCTGGAGTCCTGGGGCCGCGGTTGGGAGTCCGGGGGACCGGGGTCGGGGCCGGAGGGACCGGGGTCGGGAGTCCGGGGGTCGGCGTTGGGAGTCAAGGGGCTGGGGTCGGGGTCGGGGGAACCGGGGTCGGGAGTCAGAGTCCGGGATTAGGAGTCGGGGCGAAGGGAGAGGCTATACGGGTACTTGGGGCCGGATCCGGAGTCGTGGGGCCGCGCCGGTAGTCTGGGGGCCAGGGTTGGGAGTCTAGGGGCCAGGGTCGGGGCCGCGGTCGGGAGTCAGGGGACCGGGGTCGGGATCGGAGGGACTGGGATCGGGAGTCAGGCGGTCGGCGTCGGTAGTCAGAGGGTCGGAGTCGGGGTCGGGAGTCAGGAGGCTGGGGTCGGGGCCGGGGGTCGGGGTCCGGGGGACCGGGGTCGGGAGTTAGGGAGTCGGCATCGGTAGTCAGAGGGTCAGAGTCGGGGTCGGGAGTCGGAGCCGCGCGGGTAGTCGGGGCCAGAGTGCGGCCGGGCTGCGGCGTAACGGCGCCACCCCTGTCTCCCGCCAGGCTCGCCGCGATGCCGCTGCACAAGTTCCCGGTCGGCCTGTGGAAGCAGCTCCGGCTGCGGGAGGGTATCTGCTCCCGCTTGCCCCGGCACTACCTGCGCTCCCTGGAGGAGGCGCGGACGCCCACTCCCGTGCACTACAGGCCGCACGGGGTTAAGTTCAAGATCAACCCCAAGAATGGGCAGCGGGAGCGTGTGGAGGATGTACCCATTCCCATTTACTATCCCCCAGAATCCCAGCTGGGGCTCTGGGGTGGGGAGGGCTGGATCCTGGGCCATAGATACATCAACAACGACAAGGTACGTGAGCAGGGCAGGCTTTGGGGTACTCCTCTGGGATTTGCTGCCCTGGGCCCCAGGGGGTGGGATGGGGGTGTGTACTTACAGTGTGGTGGTGTCCTGAGACAGGGTGGTGCAGAGCCACTGGATGGTTAGCCAGATCAAGTGTGAGGAGGAGGAGGAGACCTGTGTGTGAGAGGCAGTAGCGGGAGGTCAGGTCTTCGGTTACCTGTCAGCCTGACACGCTGTAGTTTGCCTCCTTCTCGTGACTGCCACTGCATCACTGCACTTAGGAAGGCTGAGAGATGCACAGTCTGCCTTCCACACCGTGCAGTCTCTGGTGGGAAACCTGGAGGGGCTGCTGAGCCCTCTGCAGGGTGGCTTGTGTCTTTGAGGCCTCCTGGGGGGCCTCTCCTTTTGTCTTCGGCCCCTTGGTCCCTGGTTTGGAGTGTGATGACCTGTGAACCACAGAGTTATGGTTGTACATGTGGTGTGTCTGGAACGCACACCAGCAACCCAGGTAGGGTTGAGGAGAAGCTGATCTCTGGGTCCCCAGGTGGGGCCTGGTCCATCCAACTCTCGGTCCTGAGCCTCAGTAAGATGCCCCGGCCCCATTTGGCTCTGTTGGGAGAAGCAACAGCCCTCACGAGGTCTCTTTTCCTCCCTTAGCTCTCAAAGAGGGTGAAGAAGGTGTGGAAGCCACAGCTGTTTGAGCGTGAGCTCTACAGTGAGATCCTGGACACGAAATTCACCATCACAGTGACCCAGCGGACCCTGGACCTCATTGACGAGGCCTACGGGTTCGACTTCTACATCCTCAAGGCAAGCGGAGGCTGTGCCAGCACACAGCGGAGTCTCCTAGCGAGTCAGAGACTCTCTGGGGCACACCCGTGTCTGGGGTGGAGGGACACCAGTGAAATATAAACGGGGTCTCAGTGAGCATTGCTGCCTCCTTCCCTGCTCTCAGACCTTCCTTTGTCCTGTGATGGCCTGGGGCCCTCCCGCTGCTGAGGAGGTGGTGGGGTCTGCTGGAGGGTGGGCAGGGCCCCGCCAGCAACACCTGGCCCCATGCATAGTCTCCTGCCAGACTCCAAAGGAGGACCTGTGCTCCAAGTTCGGGATGGACCTGAAGCGAGGGATGCTGCTGCGGCTTGCCCGACAGGACCCCCAACTGCACCCAGACAACCCCAAGAAGAGGGCAGCCATCTACAGCAAGTACAAGGTGAGGGCTTTGGTTTGTACTTCTGGCTCCTTGTGGGTCCCATTGGCGGGCCGTACGTCTGCTCATCGAGTGCCTGGTCTCTCCTGTGCAGGAGTTTGTCATCCCGGAGGCAGAAGCCGAGTGGGTCGGCCTGACGCTAGATGAGGCTGTGGAGAAGCAGAGGCTCCTAGAGGAGAAGGTGAGCACGTGTGAGCACCAGCTGCTGAGCACTAGCAGACCGGTGGGTGGGGAGGCGTACTGCCTCAGGGAAAGCCTGGACTGGGGGCCGCTGCGCCCGGTGAGCTCGGGGAGGAGCTGCTGCTGTGCACGGCTGGCCCGGTACAACCATGGCCTTGGGTTCCGTGCGGCGTGCCCCCTGCCCTCGAAGTCCTGACTCTGTCCTGCCCACCCCACCCCGCCCCTCAGCTGACTTCATAAGTTCATGGACAGAAAGACTCTTGGTGGTACCTTTGGTTTCTTTGGCCACGTGGCACCCCCCTGTCCTGCAATCTTCCTGGTATCGAGCTGAGGTCTTTTTGTGTCTGCACCCTGGAAGGGTCTGGAGCTCGTGGTCGCTGCTGGAACAGGGAGCCCACCAGCAGCTGTTGCCCCTGTTCTCTCTGCTTGGTTTATCTGCAACCATAGGGCCCCAAGGCAGGGAAGTGGGGGAGAGATGCCTGGTCCCTGGGTCCCCAAGGGAAGGTGGCCTCTGTCTCGTGGACAGGGCACTGTGCTCTGGGCTGGTGGCTGCAGCCAAGCCTGAGGGGTCTAGTCTCACGCCGGATGCCTCTGTTTGGCCAGCAGCAACTGGATTCCTGCCTTCCCCAGAGCGACTCATCCTGACCCTGTCTCGTTCCTGTAGGCCCCGACTCCTCTGTTCAGGGTCTATGTGGAGGAGCTGATTGGGCAGCTGCAGCAGCAAACACTGTCGGAGCCCATGGTGGTGCACAAGAGAGCCAGCAAGAAATGACTGCACGGTGACCCAGGCCTGACAGCCATGCTCAGACA